ACACACCTGGGGACACACCTGAGTGGATGGAGGGAGGGGGATTTTGGGGGGGCACACACACACCTGGGGACACACCTGAGTGGATGGAGGGAGGGGATTTTGGGGGGACAAAGGGGGGATTTTGGGGACACACACACACCTGGGGGCTCACCTGAGAGGTGAGCACATGCCAGGACAGGTAAAAACCTCTTGTGGTGGAGGGAGGATTTTGGGAGAACAAAGGGGGGATTTTGGGGGACACAGCTGAGAGGTGAGCACCTGCCAGCACAGGTGATTTGCCAGGTAAAACCTTGTGGAGGGAGGATTTTGGGGAGGACAAAGGGGGGATTTCTGGGCACACACACACCTGGGGGCTCACCTGAGTGGCCAGGACAGGTTTGGGAGTGCCCAGGTAAAAATCTCATGGGGAGAGGGAGGCTTTTGGGGAGGACAAAGGTGGGATTTTGGGGGGACAAAGGGGGGATTTTTGGGGGACAAAGAGGAGATTTTGGGGGGACAAAGAGAGGATTTTTGGGCACACACACACACCTGGGCTCTCACCTGAGTGGATGGAGGGAGGGGGATTTTTGGGAGGACAAAGGGGGGATTTTTGGGGGACAAAGAGGAGATTTTGGGGGGACAAAGAGAGGATTTTTGGGCACACACACACCTGGGCTCTCACCTGAGTGGACGCCCATGTGCCGGCGCAGGTGCTCTGCCAGGTAAAACCTCTTCCCGCAGCCGGGCTGGGGGCACACCTGGCCGCGGCCCTTGCGGTGCGCCAGCTTCACGTGGCTCTGGGGGAGGGGGACAGGTGAGGGGGGAACCTGCCCCAGGTGAGTGGGGGCTCTGGGGGTTTCCCCCCCCTTTTCCAGGTACCTGGAAGCTGCTGGCGGCGCTGAACTCCCGCCCGCAGCCGGCGTGGGGACAGGTGAGGGGTGAGGGGGGGTCCTCTGGGGAGGGGGCTCGGCCCCTCCTGCTCCGCCGGCGCCTGCAGAGCCTGGGGTGAGTGTCCCCCCCCTCCTCAAAAGGTGGGGGACAGGTATCAAAGCAGCCTTGTCTGACCCACCTGAGACCCCTCCCCAAAATAACTCCCCTAAACCCCTGAATCTCCCCGAATGAAACAGTCCCTGACCCCCCACAACCCTCCCAGGTGCTCCCCCCGTTTCTCACACGCTCAGGTAAAACCTGACGCCCCCCCCCAAACCCCCTCCCCACGCCGGGGACACCCCCAAACCCCCCCAGGGACACCCCCAAACCCCCCAGGGACACCCCCAAACCCCCTCCCCACCCCAGGGACACCCCCAAACCCCCCCAGGGACACCCCCGAACCCCCTCCCCACCCCGGGGACACCCCCAAACCCCCCAGGGACACCCCCAAACCCCC